ATAGCTGTTGGAAACCAACCAGCAGGCAGTAGTTAAAAAAAAGAATACGCAAAGAGAGACTCACATATAATTTTTTTTTTCCTCAAAAAAATAAAATCCATAGTTCATATGAGACATGAAAACTCCAAACAGGCACTGAAGCATTTCTGATACAGTACAGCTCCGATTACATCAATATTATTCCTTATATAGAATTAAAGATTACCATAATTATCCTCTTTAAAAAAAAAAAACCTTTCTCCAAATTTACATACAGAGACTAAATTTCTACAAAACTTAACAAAACAAACCCCCTCCAAGCCTGGTTGGGTTCTGAAACAAGGTACCATCATGTCAGTCTTGACAGAGGGGCCAGACAGAAGGGTTGCAGAGCTGGGGGTTTAAATACGAGCTTAGACCAGGGAATCACTGCACGTGTGAGCTGGCACGGACACATGGCCAACGCGACTACAGCAAAACTAGTTACATGACAACTGACTCAAAAATAGCTCTTTCTGAGGCTCAATGCTTCCAGATGAGCTGTATCCCTCACTCCCCTCCCAAAGCAGTGAAGTGCTGATTAATAATAATAATAAAAAAAAGCAAATTTGCTTTTAAAATATCCGGTATTTTGGACTTGCTTTGAGTTGTTGCGCATGCCTGACATCCATGGCGATTAAAGGATCTCTTTAAAGGTGACTGTTTCTCTGATTTAGCAACGTGTGAAACCATCCCCGCCTCTCTTCCTAGAGAGATGGTCCTATGGGCTTTTTTTTTTGGGTCTGTGGCAAGACACTGTAGCACCTTCACAACCTTAAATAGTTTAAAGTCATATATATAAAATAACACACTTTTTTAAGAGCACCAGAGATTTCACAGTGAGAGGTAGAAACAAATCAGATGAGCCCATCCTCTCTCTCTATTTTAGCACCAATCTCTTCCCCTCTCCTCCTTCCATTCCCCCTCTCGGCTTCGGGACTCTCCCCTACCCCAACACCATGTATGAGAAGGGACATTGATTAAACTCACCCATGGAAGGAGGAACTTAGTGTTGTTTTTTT